CTTTCCTCGAATTCTAGAAAAAAGTTGAAGGCCTTTAAAAGTTTCGATGAGTCTCTAGACCCGTTCACTTTCTTTATTGTGTAAAATCGTCTCAAAATTTTCCAGCCGATTAAGCAAAAAATAAGATGAGAAAGAGTTCAAAAAAACGGCTTTTTTTCTCATTTTTTTCTCAGCTTTGTTTTGAGTTACTGTCGTGAATTTTCGAATTTTTTTCTCAAAAAAATATAACAACTTCATATTTTATTACTATACTTTAGAATCTAAAGAATAAATAAATTGAGAAAAAAATTCGCTGAATTTTTCCAAAGATGCCTCAGCTTGAGGAAAAATTGCAAGTATTTTAAAAGATCTTTTTTTGGACAGAACCTGAAAAAAAGTGAGCTTCAAGAAAAAATTTTCCTTGATCTAGATGATTAATTAAGATTATTCAACCCATTAAAAATTTTATGATTTGTTTGTAAGTTTAGATTTTTGACAAATATTTATAATTCTTCGAGTTAACTTGACACTCTTTTTGGGCTGATAAAAATTTGATTATTTTTTTAATCATAAAGAGCAAAAATAAGCTCAAAATCAAGTTCAGATTTCCATTTCTAAAAGTTAATGCTTGTAGTTTTTACCTTTAAAAAGAGCTTCGAAAAAATCATTCATAACTTTCGGAACCTTGATCTGACCCTTTTTTAATGAACCAAACTAAATTCTCAAATTTATTAGCTTTCAAGTTTCTTGAGTCTATTTTCAAAGCTGGACAATCTTGTAGCTATCTAAAAAATTCACGATCTTTACCCGGTGAAATTCTAAGAAATTTCTGAAGTTCAGTGTGAAACAATCGTCCTGGTCAGAAAGGATCCTTCAAAAGCGGTTGTATTCCTAAAAAGTCTTGGAATGAAACGGAAGGATTAGGCTCGAAGAAGCTCAGAAAGTAGGAAAAGCAGAAGAGGGGCGGGAAAACGGCTCGAACGGGGGGCCGGATAAGACAAAGACTCTTGGACTAAGAAGAAACACGGCGGCCGGGGGGCGTTGCAGGTCAAGGACGGCGAAAATGCAATTTATATGTATGCAAAGTTTCAATCGCCAATGATGATTGCTCTGTGTGACGCAACAGGTAAAAACTTGATTTGATGCGGGTCGCGGGAAAAATCGAAGATAAAAAAGGGGGAGGCGTCGGATCCGCCGTAATGGACTTTTTTGCCAATCTCGATGATCGCCCCTTTTGTTTCTGCCCATTTCGAAGCGTTTCGAAACTACCGTAGTGATAAAAAAAGCTCCTGAAAAGATAAAAAAATCAAAAAAATATGGAAAAAAACTTAGGCTAGTGTAACACAGAAGAGCTGTTGTCAAGATCGTTATCAAGTTCTATTTTAAAAGTTCAATCACCATCAGCTTGAACAAGCGAAACATTGTGCAAAAATAAGAGGTTTCGACGTATCCACAGTAACTTTTAACTTAAAAGCAAAACATCTAGTCTGATTTGCTCAAAAATCATTGTTGAATTGGTCAAAGACGCAAAATTTTTGCATGACCCAAAACAAAACTTTCGCCTAAAGACCATCATAAAATTAGCCTATGCTCCTTTAAGCCTCTCATCAAGGATTTTCAGACGAAAAAAGAAATAAAAACTCAATTTTCGTAGAATCGAAGAGCTCGAGGATAGGAGAAGGACGTGTGGCCGATTGACTGTTTTATCGGAGCAGCGGAAAGAGCAAAAAGTGGGCGGAGCTTCGAAGCCACGCCCCCTTTCAAGAGCGATTCTTCGCAAAAACAATGAATCTTTCGAAAGCGTGGGAGGAAACGAATGATAAGAATGTTTTAAGTTATCGTAATATTGTCGAGCAAGATTACTGTAAGCTCTTTCCGCTAATCGTTTCAGGACTTCTTGAACTTCGAAAATCATTCGAACTTTGTCACAAACTGGCAATGAATGGAGTACTTCAAGATTTATGTTCATTTTCAGATACTCTGGGAAAATTTTTAGTGGCCTCTATAGGGTTTTGACGTTTTAGTGGCCACTGTAGTAGTCAAATTAGTGGCCTCTATAGAGTTCTGGTACTACTAGATGACTAAAACCACTACAGTTGCCACTAATGAACAAAAGAATGGCGACTATAGATGTTTTTCCAGAGGCCACTTTAGTGTTCTCTTCAAGTAGTCCTCGGGGAGCCTCTATAGGGACCACTAAACATTTTCCCAACTGTTCAAGGGTTCCTATAAGATCTGATAAATGTTTTGAAAATTTAAAGAAAAACGAAACGGTTTGGTTTCCAAGAAATCGCTATTTTTACCTTCAAATTCGTGTCAAAAGAAGCATTTTTCCTTGAAATGAAACCATTACGATTTTTGTTTGTTGGGAGTTTGTGTAAAATAGATTCTTATCCTTATCTTTTCTAAGAAAATTGTGGAAACTTTTAAACGGTGCAATCGCAACTTTCAAAATGGGTTTCAATAAAAAATTGAGTGGAAACGCATCGTTGTTCATTGAAACGAGACGTCTTTGAGTATTTTTCGAGGACGAAATATTGTCCAAATTTACCGACAAGGCCTGTGGAAAAGCTTATGGCAGGCTAAAAATTCAAAATTCAATCTCTTGTGTGAATAATTCGATCCGTTTTCTCAATGAAATAATTTGAGTAAATTTTATAGTTCCTGGCCGAACGAGGTCATCGGCTTCTATCTACTATAATCAAAAAAATTCTAACTGGAGCATATTTTTTCCCGTCCTTTGAAAGACCTAGTTGTTAAAATTTGGGGTCAGATTTAGAATCCCGTGCATCTAATGAGACTAGTCTCATTTAAAAGTTTCGTCTAGAGCCTATCATTTTTCAGCAAAAATAAAACCGACGGTTGTGAGGACTGAACTCCCGACCTCGATGCCTAAAATCAAACGCACAGGCACTGCGCCACAATGATCGCCTTGTCGTACTACTTTGCTTCCTACGATCCAGCAAACAAAGGTGCAACTTTTACACAGCTCTTCCTCAAAAAGAGAAAAAACAAAGGGCGACTGCGATTTTTCAAGAAAGCCAGGAAAAAAGGGCTGCCTCTCAATCAGTTTCGCGCGTCCAGAGCGATTAATCACCCGCGTTTTTTGATGATTCGAATCTGTTATTTTCTACTAGCCAGGTCGGCTGATCATTTAGTGCAATTACTAATGTTTGCTTATGTCACGAGAAACGAAATATGAATCAAAAAGAAGGAAAAACGTTTGGAGGAGATGGAGTTTTTATCAACTTTTTAAAAGCATTCCTGCCATTCACACAATTTCCCTCGTCCTTTGTTTCATTGATGGAAAAAAAAACAGAATTCTTTCCAGGGTGTTCCTGAAAGCTCTAGAAACCTAGGAAAAGTTGGGAATTCTGAAATTTTCAAGAAACAGGTTTAAGAAACTGTTTGAATCTATCTATGTCTCAGAAGCTAGCAATCAAAAAAAAAAAATTTAAAGACTTCGAGCTCTGGAGATTTCAAAGTACAGAACCGAATAACTTCCTGAAGCTGGACCTAGCTGAAGCTCAAAAGTCTTCAGAAACTTCAGAAAATTCGAGGTACATGCTAAAATAGCACTCCCCTTCTTTCTTAAGCTTTCCAAGCTTTAAAATGTTCAAGTTCAGGAAAAATAGTTTCACACAGCTCCATGAACGTTAAGAAAGAGTACCTTGGAAGAATCACCTTTGAGGTACATCTAAAGGGCTATTTCTAAAGCTTCACAAGTTTCAGAACCTTCAAAATACAGGCGGAAGGAATTTCCATGAGGTGTTCCAAGGGCGACTTTCGTCGTTAGAATGCCTTTCAAGGGAACGAGAAGTAGTTTGGTCGCCAACCACTTAGAATTCCTCTTCTCATTCATGACGTCATTATGGGATCATGTATTTTTTGGAAAGAAAACCAGGAAAATCCCTAAAATTATCGGTAAATTCTCACAAAACTTGAAAAAAGATTAAAATTTTTCCATGCACTTTTTCTTGAAGTAAGAACGAGTTCAAGATTTTTACATTTTTATGAAGAAAAATTGAAACTGTGAGTTATAAGATCAATTTTAAAACCCAAATAATTTCAAGTAGAAAAAGAAAAGTTGATCAAGGAAAAAGCAAAGTTTCAGACACTTGACCCTAAATTTATTCGAATGAAACTCTTAGTACTTGCTATGATTGATAATCTGAGACTCTATTATCACAAATAAAGAGCTTTTAGTCAAAATCTGAGATCCAGAAGCAGAGAAAATCGTTAAAATTGAAAATTTTGCTCCAGCTGAAGTTTATTGAAGCGATTTTTCAAGTTTTTAAGGAATGGAAAATTCGATTTTTGTAATAAATAATATTTAGATAACTTCAAATAGATCTTCCGAACTCTAAAAAAATTTTTAAAAAAACTTCCAGGTGAAAAATAAAGATTAAAAAATAAAATCTCAAAGCGTGAAGGGAATCATGATATATTGCAGTAATGGAAAAAAACTTATAAAATGCGGAAAAAAATCGATTGGATTAAAAAAATAATATTTTTGAGAAATAGTTCACTCGCCGCTAGCTTGGTTCAAAGACGCCTGAAGCTTTTTCTTTGGCTCACTGTTTCACGATTCGTATAAAGATTTTATTTTATATTTTCCCAATCCAGTGATGGATCAACTAAAAACGGTAAAAATGCGTCAAAAGCAGAGAAAAATTCCGCATAATTCATTTGAGATATCTTGAAACAATCTGTCTTGTCTGTGGTCTCTCGATCTTTCAGAAATTCTCGTTATTTTCATTTTCATAAGATCGGGAGATAAGAGAGAGTCCAGAAAGGTCAAAATGTTCCAAAAAAGGCGAATAAAATTCACATCATACATTCAAAGGTTTATTAGAATCAGATAAGCGTGTTAACTGTGGACTTTTTGGTCTTCTGATTATTATATGAAAAAGTCTTTGAAGAGAAAAAAACTGTAATCGCGTGAAAAATTGACGCGTTTTCGAGTAAAAAACTCTTGGCTAAGGCTACAAATAGAGCGGAATCGAATCAAAAAGTCGACGATGACGAATCGTATTAGTCTTGGCCTGTCTAAGCTCTCCAAGTTTCCGCTTCTGATTCACGTATCAACATTATAACTAGCTTAGGAGCTTGGGAATTACTGCAGAGGCGGGTCCAATGGACCGTAAACGGACGCCCGAGGAGCTCTTGCGTCCGAAAAATAAAGAAAGTCGGAAAAAAAGAAAATAAAAGTTTCGAGGCAGATCTCCGCCGAGGCGAGATGAGTCATGGCATGGGCACGTGGAATAAAATCGGCAAATCGGCGAACGAACGGCAAAATGACAAATTGAACCGAGCGGGATCCGAGGTGGCAGGAATTACGGCCCATCGGGAGGGGCAAATCAATCAAACCGCCGCTTACAACAACCAACAGGCATTCCTCAACTTGTTTCAAGTCTCCTCTAATCACTCCGCTACGCTTCTTCTCACTGACATTCGACTTTTTCATTGACTTCTTAAAGTCTGGGTCATCTGAAGAGAATACTTGAGGATTTCTCAGGAGCTTCAAATTGGTCGCTACAGAGGCAACCTCAGGAGTCCTAGGGACCCCTTTACCTCCCTAAAAAGACTTTGCAAATTGGCCCCTATAGGGGTTATAATTATTGGCTCTTATAGAAACTTGTAGAAAAGAGAATATATGAAGATTGCTCAGGAACTCCAGAGTGGTCCCTACAGGGGAAATATTGGGTACCTTTAAAGTATTTTCTCTAAAGACCACTCTACCTCTTTTAAAGGGACCACTTGAAAATGCAAAGTGGCCCCTATAGGGGTTATACAAAATTTACAAAAAAAATTACTCTATATTTAGGGACCGCAGACGAATTTTCAAAAAATTTTTCGAACTTCAATATTACTTTGGTTGGATAGCTGCTCTAATTTACTATTCAAAACAGTTTAGTTTTTTTCAAAAAAAGGTTGAGAAAAAGTTATGGTCAAAAACAGTAGTGAAAAAAAGTCGCGAAATTTAGTACTGAAAGTTTAGATTTTACACTTTTGGTCGTTCATTATGTTTTCATATCGGATTTAAATTTTTTTAGTAGTTTAGTTTGGTTTTTCAAAGTCGTAATAAATCATTAAAACAGTATAAAACCACAAGTTTGAAAAGAAAAGCTGTTTTTTCTTGAAAAATAAAAAAAATTGCCGCTGCGAGGATTGAACGCGAGATATCAAAAAAAAAAGTACAGCATTTACCGACAATCTTGTTTAAAAAAAAGTTATGGTAGTTGAACAATTATTAGTCACGTGTGTTCGGACCACCTAAAAATAATTTATTCATAGAGATTCAGTTCGAAATGCTTCCGTTTTCGGTGTTTTTTTCTTATTTTAACGTTGGCTTCAAACTAACACTGATTAAACTTTTAGGCACCGCTAAAATTTTTATTTTATTTTTTTAATTGATTGAAAATTGAGATACGCTAATATTTAAGAAATAAAAAAAGGCGCCAACGACATCTGACCATGTTAAAATGAATTTCGAAATTTTGACTGTCTATTTTTTCTCAGAAAACAAAGTTTTCGGAATAAGTTTTATATTAATAAAATTTTAGTTACAATTTAATCCACAAGTTAAAATAAAAAGCTTTTTTTACTTACACGCTCTCGAAACCGAGTACAACATTTTCAACTTTGCGCGGCCTCACGAAGATTAGGCACCGTAAAAATTTTAATTTTTTTGTCTTAAAAGATTTGTTTTTCACTTAAGAATCGAATTCGAAAATAAAAAAAGGCGCCAACGACATGGAACTAGGTTAAAAAACCGAAGAAAAAAAGTAGTTTTGGTTTTTTGTACGACACTCCGCTAAAACGCTTCGAAATTCGGGTGAAAAGTATATCAGATTGAAGAGGAAGGTTTTCTCTATGTTTCCACCAAATTTCTCTGTGTTTGATTCAGTATTGCGCTTTTACGAAAACATCAAACACAAAATCTAAAAAACCAGTGCATTTCACCATCGCAAAAAGGGGCGTGGCTCTGCGGTCTCTATCTATATTCGGCCTCCTTGAAGCGCTTCTTGAAGTTGAGGTCAGTTAGAAGTTTACTCTTACTTCGAAAGTTTGCTCATCAAATTTTCGAATTTTCTTATTTGAAAATCCGTCATAGAGAATTGGGTCTTGAAACGATGAGCGATTATTACTGAAAATTACGGTGTCCTGGCCTTTTTTAAATCAAGCCTGCTGTGACTTGCGTATACTTTGATCTTGAAGGCCACGTTCTCTAATAAAACAGGCTGAAGGAGAAAAAGGACCTCCCACGAAGATTGGAGAAGAGAAGTTGAAGAAAATAAAACCTGATGGATCATATAATTTCTTGAAAATTTTGTTTAGATCGAATTCGGGATTAAAAGAAATAGAAAAAATAAATTTTTTTGTCTGAAAAGCTTTTGAAAGGAGCCGAGTCAATTGAAATTCTGACGGCCTCATCTAAATTAACTTAGAATTAAAATTAGAATTTCAATGGTTCAATGGAAAAAAACCTTTTAAGGATCCTTACCGAGGTAAAAAAATTCTGAAAAAAATCAAAGTTTATCCATTTTTTTTTTCCAGACACGAAAATCTTAATAGGCAAAACCAATTCTATTTAAAAAACAATTAAGACGGCCCCCGATGCCAAAAAACAAAAATTGGTATTACCGAGTAGAAAAACAAAAAACTTAAAAACGTGCGGAATGACGGTTAAAAAAAAGACAAGCATTCCGAAGACCCTTCTCGAAAAAAACAAGCCCAAAATTGCTTGTTTTATTAGCGGCGAACGCATTTTTGAGTTGAATTGGATCGAACAATGAGAAATAAAAGTTTAATTTTGCTTACACTTTTTTTTCTTTTTAGAAACGCCACAGTGGTCTCTACAGGAGACAGGAAAAAACAGCTCCTACAGGGGAGAAAAAAGTGCTTTCTATAGGGGTAAAATTAAAGCGGTCCCTATAGTGGTCCGACCCCCAAGCTCGTAAAACTTGAGTTTTGTTAAGATTTGAAAATTAAAAAGATGCATTTAATAAAACTTGATGAACTATTCCGCTGTGTTGATATTTTCATTCGAAAAAAGACAGTTTAGGTTTCCCCTATAGGGACCACTCTCGGGTTCTTAAGTATTCAATGTTCCGGCTGTGACTCGATCCAAAAACTGTATATCCAAGTTTTTTTGTTTTTTTGAAATCGAAATGCGTTTCTGTGATGTTACCTAGCGATTGAAAGGTTATACTAAACCGTAAAGATATCTAAAAAATTTTTAACATGGCGCAGTGCCTTTGAGCTTCACCAACAATGTCGAGGTAACGAGTTCAAATCCTCGCGACCTCAAAATTTGTTCGCTTCGGTAAAAACGACTTATTTGCTTTTTTACACCTATCAGAGTGATCTTCCAGATGAAAAAAAACGAAAAAAAATTGGAAGAGGTGATCTAAGCACTTTTTTAATACTTCATTTTCTTTCCTAGTGATTTTCAAAAATCCATGGTCTCTGATTCCCAGTGTTCTGAATGAACTTGCGAAAATCCGGCGCCGGTTCAGTACAAAATTGCCAATTTTCAAGGACCCTTGTTCTTTTTGAAAAGAAAACTGAAGGAAAAGGAAAAAAGAGATCAAAACTCAATTATAGGTAAGAAGAGGTTGAAGAATAACACATGACCCGATTAGGCGAGTTGATGGTTGTAATAGATACGGGCAGAATTCGGGCCAAACCGTTGCCAATTTTCTTTTTAGCATGAAGTAATCAGCATTAAGACTGGAAGTTAGGGTCGAAATTATAATCTCATTCATTTTATTTCAAAGAAAAAATGAAATGAAAGAGTAGAAACCTTAAAGATGACGCCCGAGTCAAAGAAGAACCGCAAAGACACGGAAAATTAGTAGTCCAAACGGCTTAATGACCTTTTACGTCCAAAACAAGGACTACAAACGCCGGAATGCCGACGGCTGTAAATGCTTTAAGGCCTAATAATCGCTGGACATTCCGAGTCTTTTCGGTTTGGTTTTTGCGGTGGAATCTTTCGCTTTCGTCTGGGTTTCTGAATCAGAATCGGATCAGTAGGTTCAGTATTTCACACTGGTCTTGAAGATTTCTTGTGAAGTTTGAGAGAATATATGAGATTTTCGACCAGAGGAAGTCTTCCGAATCAGAATGAAGTTACTATAATAATTTTAGGCTGATTTCAAGACCCGATTTCGAAAACTCCAGGGAAGATTCAAAGAAAAATATGAGATTTTGACTATAATACTATCTCGGACCTTGGTAACGCGAACGGGACGCAAAACGGACGTGTCGGGGCATTTCTAGTGACCACTTTAGTAGCCTTAACGCTCTTAAGTGATCCCTTGAATCGCCCAGAAACGTCCGGAGCACGTCCGTTTCGCGTTACCAATGTCCGAGATTTCATTGGTAATTTTAACCCTCTTTTAAGCGACATATTAACGGATCTACCAGCTTCCAAATGGGCTCATTTCAACAACAGGAACGGTTAGAAAAATATATCAAACTGAAAAATGTTAAAAAAACCAAAGAAGCCGGAAAAAAATGATTTTTTTAAAATGAACATCTGTATCCTTTTACGGATTTCATTAATCTTTTTCATCCTAGTCTCATTCAAATTTCTCCCTTTAAACCGAGCCCCCCAAGGAGAAAAATTTCAGCCTCTCCAAGACCACGGGTTATGCTCAAAAAAATTCCTTCAAAAAAACTAGGATCATCGAAACGGTCCTTCTTTCTGCAAAAAAAATTTATTGGGCCTCGTCGGACCAGGGAAAAAAGTTGCGAGTGTGCAAATCGTTTGCACGTGGCACAGCTGCGGCACACCCGGAGACCTTTTTTTCGAATTTAAGACTTTTTTTGAACCATTCGGACGAGGGCAATGGGACATTAAACATGGAAATTGAGTATCGTAATAAAATTCGAAGGAAAAATGAGTGAAACGGGGTACATCGGGAGTACGACTTTCCTTTTCGATTCGACTTTTGGCCGCGGAGGTTCATTAAAATTCCAATTTTGGACAGCGAGAGCCTCGGTTTGTGAGGAAACTAGAGCAAACCGTTTTGTGCTACAAAAGAGAAGAGAAAAAGTTTTTTGTGAGCAAAAAATATTGCCTTTGTTACAAAGAAACTTGATTCTACGGGAGCCGATGGTCGCACGCAGAATGGGTAAAGGCGGTTTGCATCCGACCCAAATGACTTGCGCTCTGAGACATTCGGAGTGTGGGAGAACAAACCTAAGCGGTTTGAGCCATTCTTCGTGCGGTCAAGTCGGGGCAATTTAAAGCAAAAAAATCAAAGGAAAGCGGAAAAAAATATTGAAGTTTTTGTTTTTAAGAGGCTAAAGCTTTTTTTCTTATACCTTTTTTCATTTCCAAGATTTTACAACAGAAGAAAGTTTTAGAACTACGGAAAAAGAGACTTTATAAGATTTTAGGAATCTATTTTCTCGAAATATTTAAAATTAAAACCGAACTTTTGGAGGGGTCTCAGA